TTTCTTGGCAAAAATATGCTTTAGATGTTTTGACTAAGACCGGAATGATTGATTGTCACCCCAACGATAGTCTTATGAATCCTAATGTGAGGCTTTTTTCAAGTCATGGGGAGTCATTGGAAAACCCTGGAAGTATTGTCATATAGTAGGCATGCTTAATTACCTCACTATCACTAGACCAAACATCACATTAGTGTGGTTAGCCAATTCCTAAAGGCTCCATTTAATAGTCATTGGAACTTTGTCATGAACATCCTTCTATACATCAAGAATACACCAAATCATAATTTAGTATACGTAGATAAAGGAAATTCCAAAGTTTTTTTTGTTATTTTGATGCTTATTGGATGCTTGAAAGACCCTTGAAGATATCTTAGTGTAGAAGGTATACTTAATTGCCTCACTCTCTCTAGACCAAAGGTCACATGCAATTAGTGTAGAAGAATTTACATTTAGCTGCAAGTACATGAATTAGATAGGTTCTCGATACCTGATTTTATCAATCCATTGAAGTTGTTCACTGTCAAGCTTAGCAGTTATAGGTTGTCTGGGATTTCCAGGTCATTTTGTTGGATTAGGCGACCTTTAAGAATTCTTAGGAAATTCCTGGCTTAAAGGGCTCGACAACATCGAAACATTTACTACACTATTACAATTGGCAATGCTAGGGAGAATGCCACTAAACCAAAAACTTGATCACAAATCCATGCACAAGATTTGAAAACAAAACATGTGGTAAGAGATGCATCACACAAATATATAAAAGGCTTTGTCACAGATCTGAAAACACTAAAGGAAAAATCTGCATGTTGTTCAGCCAAACCTTGCCGTAGCATTTCTACATTAGTTTGTCCACTTGTTGATTTTTTATAAGAACAAAATTATTAACAATCAGGACAAAATAATGAAGAGGACAAGTTTGTTCGATGATCCAAACTTTAATTTGAGAGTAGTCTGCCAGAGTAACAGAAGGCATGGAGTCCGAAAAGTTCAAGGAGGGGGAAAAGGGATTTGTTACTAGTTATATGATTTGATGCATCACATTCAAGTATCCAAGGTTCATGAGAGAAGGACCGAGAAACAAAATCTACAGGTTTACCAAACTAAGCCACAACTAAAACATATGCATATGATGCAGATTGGTTGGTTGGTTGGTTGCTCACAGCTTCAAAAGTTCATGATACCCAATATAAAAAATCGTGATATCTGAAGTTGGAGTGGTGGCTTCTCCCACATTAGCTAGCAGAGATACTTGTGAGCTCTAGTGTGACATTCTTCTTCAACATGACCCTAACAATTGCAATAGTTGCAGTGGGTGCGACCACAACTGTGAAAGGAGTGAGGGACTAGGGTAATGAAATCCCTGATAGACATTGAGGTGTTTTAAAAATTATAAGGATTGGAGAGATACAACAGCTACTTCCTAACTGCATTGTATATGTATGAACATTAGAACCTGAGAGAATTTGATTATGAACAACTTTAAAGTCTGGTGAATGTCCAACCAGAGCAAATATCATGCAAAATTGATTGCATGATTTATGAATGTCTCTGCATTAGTAGTGAAGGGCATGTGAGAACTTTAAAGTCTACAATAAGGTGATTAAGCTTTTCATGATATGTTTACATGTCCATGTTAAGTCGTAAATGTCTGGAACTGTGCTTGAAGATTGGGGCCAAGAGAGAACCAGAAGACGCTATATAAGGAGGCATCAATTTGCTTCTAAATGAGGTTGTTCAATAATGGGAATAGCGGTCAGAGTTGCCAAATGACGAATCTTGTCTTGGTCACATGAACAGGGCATGTGAAATGTTTTTTGTGGACAGTGTTATATGCTGATTAACCATACAGTTATGTTGTGAATTGTGCGTTTAACCATGCATGTTAATCCTTTATTTTTAATCATTAAAAGAATAATATAGGGAAACCTAACCATGGAGAATATCTCAAATCATCAACTGTGCATATTTCCCTCCGTGCTTACTAAGATATGAATAAAATCATATCTGTTACATGTGTTATTTGTAATTTTTTAACGTAAGGCGAAATTTACTGAAATATAATCCTTGTTAGATCGTCCATTTTGTACCAACGGTGTCTTTTGAGTATACCGAATCAGTATAGCTATCCTTCTTCTAACAGAGCAATGAAATTTCACAATCAGTGTAAAAATTTAGTACTAGATTTTTTTCGTCTTTTTTCATTGATTGTCTCTATGTAGTCAAAAATTCGATAGAAAATTTTGCAAAGTTTGGGTATATAAAAATTTTTTTGATATTCAATTTTTATAGTAATAGTATAAAATGAAGGTTCTTAACATTTCAGATTATTAGTTTTGGATTAGAAACTAAAGATCCATTCAAATCGGAATATGAGAAAAGGGTTTCTGATAATTCATAAAGTAGATTTTATATTTTAATAATTCAATTAGTGCCAAATCAATAAATCTATTTTTTGTTAAGTTAAAAAAAATACATTCAATTTTGTTTTCCATTTTATATTTTTTAAACATGCTTTGAAAACAGATTTAATAAAAAGTTTCCTCTTTATCTCATTATCAAGACAGTTTTCAAAACAAAATTATTAAACAATTTTTTTTTCTTATTTTCTTCTAAAAACAGTTTTACAATCTGTTAGAATATTTATCCTATTTATCATGATTATATTGTGTTTAGGGTTACCCTATTTATCATGATTATATTGTGTTTAGGATTATTCTATTTATCATGATTATATTGTGTCTATATTACCCTATTTATCATGATTATATTGTGTCTAGGTTATCCTATCATAATTATATTGTGTCTAATATTAATTTATTTTTATAAATAGAAAATTATGAGAGGATCAATACGTCTTCGAGAATTATTTCTTTTCAATCTTAAAGTCCTCCAAACCTACATCTCTTGGGAATTCCAAATTACAATTATTAAGCACAACATTCAAAACACAAGTGACCCTAGCTCATTAAAGCTATGTTCAGATTGATGGTTATTCCATTTCATTCCATCCCACTATTTTATTCCAGCCTTCCATTTAGCCCATCTTTAGTTGTTTAAACATAGCGTCATAAATATCCATAAATCATAAACATAATCCCAATTTTTATTTTTTTATTCTACATATATGTTTTTAATATCATTATTTTACTTCAATCATATCTTTCGGATATCTTATGTAGGAGTTATCAATCATGGGTGAGTTTACGATTCAGATTAGCAATGACCTTGTCAATCAGCTTGTTGATGATGGCATGCCAAAGAAAAAAACTAGAAAGAGCAGACGAAAGGTGGCAAGAGACACTGAAAAGTCTCAATCTAATGAAACTAGAAAGCCGGATAGTGCAGTTATTCCAGGGTGGCCAGTGCAGCCCCCTTTGCATCTACCTGGAACGTTTCCTGCTCAACCTCCAAAGTCAGAGTTAGAGAGCATTAAGGGTATGCTCCAGGAAAGTGAGAAGGTTTTGGAAAGATTGCAGAAGCAAGAGGAGACTATGTTGCAGGAAGTAACCCAGAAGGCAAAGGATCTTCATGATAAAGAGTATAAGATTCCAAACCCAAAGCCTGAGCCATGCACGGCCGAAAGATTTGCGACCTTATCATGTTACAAGGAACATATCAAGGATCCTTTGAAGTGTGCCACTCTTGTTACCAGTTTTGCTGATTGCCTACGTAGGTTTGGCCGTTTAGGTGACAAGTGAGTTAAACTGAATAGTGCTTTAAAAGGAAATTCGTCTGACAAATGCAAATAAACTAGTGAACTACATACTGACTGATAAATACTCAGTGTGCTGCTACCAATTTTTTTTTCTCATTCCCAACATTAAAGCATGTTTTCCAGATCCGAATAAGTGATGTATTCTCATTTGGAATCTGAACATTTTGTTATCTGTGTGTCCATTCTATCACGGGAGTATTTTCGTGTTGGTCAGTTACAGTGTCTCTAACTCTAAAAACTAGAGACTGCAGGTTTTATCAACTTTGAGTATCGTTATTTATTTTTGTTATTATTTTGGGACAACTTTTACGACCTAAAACATTAGGAAAGACGTACTGTAGCTAAAATAATAGTATTGATTGGAAACTTCACCTTAATCGTTCTAGTTTAGAATAATTTTAGGTGAAAAGTATCCTAAACTAAAGATATTTTAAGCTTAGCTTTATTTTGATTGATCTTTAAATTTTGTTTTAACTTATACATAAATTAGTCTTTCTACAAATGTACTGCCAACCCTAACCTAGAATAAAGAGAAGTCAAAACATGATAGTTGTGTTCGTTGCACCTTTAAAAAGAAGGTATATATTTGGTATCTTCTTTTGTTTTTCCAATTTTACCATCTTAATATCTATCTTTTAATTTTAAATAATTATTCATAATAAAAAATATTTTTCAGTTTTATCATTTTAATAACTATTTTTTATTTAAATAATTACTCATTACAAAAAAATTATTTACTTTTTTTATTATTTTAATAACTACTTTTTCAAATTTAAGTAATTACTAAAAAAATTATATACAAAATATTACTTATAATATTTTTATTTCAATAACTAAAGTTTATTTTATCTGTCATATTTATATACATTTTTTTAAACTTTACTCTTTTAATTAATACTTTTAAATAATTTATAGATATTTAAAAAATCATACAGATACGCGATAACGTGGGTATTTAACAAAAGTAATATATTAATATAATAATGAAATCATAATAATAAAATAAAATTATTAATACAAATAAATTAAAATAATAATAATAATCGTCATCATAAAATTATAAAATAATAATATAAATGCAAAAAATATAATATTTAATTGTTTTACAATTTTATTAATTTAATTTATTTATGACACTCATCCAACCATTCATATTCATTATTTTGATTAACTTTACAATCTCAACCTTTAATAAAAAGAATCAGACTTTCCATTGAGATTTGCCTCATTTCAATATGTTCTTAAGGGTCTGAAATTCCCTCAATGAAAAACTTAAACTATCTAAGATTCCCTTTCTGTCCTCTAACATCGAATCCCGACAAAACTTGTATCTGTCGTATTATTCTGGTTTTCTTCGCATTACTCGCTGTCTCTACCTTCCAACTTGTTAAAAATATATACATATATGTTATCCTCACCATGTATCCTCTAGCAATACACCACCATGTCTCTCTCCTCAATTCTATCTCAAACCCACTATTTCTCTGATCAACCCATAACTACCCTTATTCTCTTCTTCCTCTTCTTCCTAGTTGCGTCCTACCTATTCCTCAAACCCAACCTCCGAAACCTACCGCCGGGTCCACCGGGCCTCCCCTTCTTCGGGAACCTTTTATCTCTTCACCCAGATCTTCACACTTACTTCGCCGCCTTGGCCCAGATACACGGTCCAATTTTCAAACTTCGACTAGGGAGCAAGCTCGCCATCGTCATAACTAAACCCACCCTTGCTCGCGAGGTCCTCAAAGACAACGATACTGTTTTCGCCAACCGCGACGTCCCCGTAGCCGGTAGGATTGCCGCCTATGGCGGCACCGACATAGTATGGACCCCGTACGGAGCCGAATGGCGGATGCTGAGGAAAGTGTGCGTGGTGAAGATGTTGAGCAACGTCACCCTAGATTCCGTCTACGATCTGCGGCGCAACGAGGTGTGCAAGATGGTGTCGTATTTGTACGAACGAGCGGGGAGTGCGGTGAACGTGGGGGAGCAGGTGTTTCTAGCGGTGATGAATGTGATAACCAGTATGATGTGGGGCGGGGAGGTGGAAGGGGTGGATAGGGAGATTTTGGGGGCGGAGTTCAGGGAGTTGGTGGCGGAGATGACGCAGCTGCTGGGGAAGCCCAATGTTTCGGACTTTTTTCCCGGGTTGGCCCGGTTCGATTTGCAGGGCGTGGAGAAAGAGATGCAGGCGCTGGTGCCCCGGTTCGATGAGATATTTGAAAGGATGATTGGTGAACGAGTGAAGGTGAATGAAAAAGAAGATGGGAAAAAGAAAGAAAGAAAAGATTTTCTGCAGTTTTTGTTGGATCTTAAGGATTCTGAAGGCCATGATTCAAAGACACCATTCACCATGACCCACCTTAAGGCCCTCCTCATGGTAACTTTCTTATCTCACTTTCCAACTTCAATTATTGTTTATCTTCTTTGCATCTCATTTTGGATTTCTATCCAAAATCTTAATAAAAATTATTTCTTCAACTTTACCTGTTCTTCTTAAAACTAAATTTTAAAATAAAATATATTTCGGTAAGTTTATGAAATGATAAGAGTATACGAAGGAAACATTATGTTTCCACTTGTAAATACTCATTAATAAAAAAATATAAATTAAATTTTGAAATAAAAAATATTATAAATAAGTGTTGTCTATCGTTTTCAAAGTATGTCTTCATGCATGATCCAAATCTCAATAATACAGTTTTAAAATTGGCGTCTTCCTCACACATTCCGCATACAGACAATGAAAATTAATTATTTAAATTATGATAAAGAAATTGAATATCTTATAGTTAATTTGATTGATATAATAAAAAAGTTGTAAAATGAATTTTTAAAATATAAGCTAAAGCTAAAATAAATTTTAGATTAAAATAAAAAATAATATCAAAATTTATTAAATAAAAAAGCTATAACTCAATAAAATATAGTAAAATAAATAAATTTATAAAATAATAAATTTATTTTATTTATTATTTTAATAGCATAATTATAATTATATGAAAATAATTAAATAATTATATTAAAATATTACTGATTATATATAAATATAATAAAATATTTATAATATAATTGATCATATATTCACAATTAATTATTTTGTAAATGTTATTATATTACAATTTAATATTATGATTTAACGTGTGAACGATTATTTTTTTACATAATGATAGATTATTTATTTTTTATGTTAATATTTTTAAATGTAAAAAATTATATATAATGATTTTTGTTTTTTTTTTGTTAATATTTTTAATACTTTATAGTCTTGTTTTCGTAATTTTCTTCAATTGCAATTGTTTTCGCATGTAATTTTGGCTAGCAAACAAACAGGTTAGGTTTTATAAGTATAACATCATTTATGTTTATGTTTTGAGAGAAGTAACTACATGGTTAATTTTGAAAACAGTTTTAGGTAATCAAATGGTAAATTATGTATTTTAAAATTGTTACAAGGGCGATTCCTTGAAGAATGTTGTGACTAATAGTAACACAAACAGGATATGGTTGTGGGTGGAACCGATACATCTTCGAACACGATTGAGTTTGCAATGGCAGAAATGATGCAGAAGGCAGAAGTAATGAAGAAAGTCCAAGAAGAGTTGGAAGTCGTGGTTGGAAAAGATAGAATGGTAGAAGAGTCTGACATTCATAAGTTGCATTACTTGCAAGCAGTGATGAAAGAAACTCTTCGGTTGCATCCTGCACTTCCACTTCTAGTCCCACATAGCCCCAGTGAAACCAGCAACGTCGGAGGCTACACCATCCCAAAGGGTTCTCGAATCTTCATCAATGTGTGGGCCATTCATAGAGACCCTTCCGTTTGGGAGAAACCTCTGGAATTTGATCCTACAAGGTTCTTGGATGATAAGTGGGATTTCAGTGGCAATGACTTCAGTTATTTTCCCTTTGGATCTGGAAGAAGAATCTGTGCAGGAATAGCAATGGCTGAGAAGACTGTTCTGCATCTTCTTGCCACACTTGTGCACTTGTTTGACTGGACAATACCACAAGGAGACAAGTTAGAAACAGCAGAAAAATTTGGAATTGTTCTAAGAAAGAATGTTCCTCTGGTTGCTATTCCCACCCCACGCTTCTCCAACCCAAACTTTTATAAGTAGAATGTAATATATTATTCATGCATGCACCAAGCATGGGAGTACACTATACTAATAATAGTTATGTACCCACCATGTGCCTTTTGTTTTAAATACTTCAATCATGTAACCAAAAAAACACTGTTGTCTACAAAATATTAGCCTGGAGTTCTATTGTTAAACCCTTTTTCTTAAAAAAAAACAAACTTTATGAAATGAGCAAATTACCGGCAAAAAGGTATGAATTAAACATTAAGAAATGAAACTGATTAGATGCATGAATAATTATTCTAAGAGCTTAACTTTTGCTTATTATCAGAAGAGGAAACATTGCCGTATTAACTAATACAAAATTTAATAAAATCTTCATCATTTAATTACCGTAACTTCCATTATACACGTACATGAATTGTAAAAGTTTGGGAATGAGAACCGAACCGGTATAAATTTCATTGTTATATGTAAACAATTAAGTTCATCTCAATTTTTATATCAGTTTGTATGGAGTTTTATCTCTTCTCTATTTTTATTGGATATACTCGTACATAAGTAACTCTCTTTTTATTGTTTCAAATATTAATTGAGGAATATTTTTATAAAAATTAAAATCACAAACAAAAAATATATGATCAAGTATTAATGCAAAAAGAATATATATTTTTCTAATATTAAATATTAATAAAAAATTTATAATTATATAAATATTAGTTTGGGTACGAGGACCAGAATAGGTATGTTTGTTTATATCTGTCAAGTTCCTACTCTCATACTTATGTTAATACATATATAGTTTCAATCTCGTCCCTATTTAACTATCAAATTGCTACAAAATGTTTCATAGTAAAATCAGGTAACTGATTAATTAGGTAGAGATATAACCTCTTTTTATTCTGTAGTTAATTCATTCTTAATCCCTGGCTAACCGGAGAGATAAAGTTTTATAATTTTTATCTACTTTTTAACTACTTTATTGCAACTTTGCTTTACATGAGTTTGTAGTTAATCCGTCATAACACTAATCTTGTTAATTCATAGTTAATTTTTCACAATTTAGTAAGCGCGAAATTCCTCTTATCTTCGCATTTGGAAAGATTTTGGGATTTCTTGTGAGAATGGAGCAGTACCCTACTACTATTTCTCTCGTTAAGCAAATGGAGCTAAGGGAATTCGCTCTAACCTTGTTACTCTCACTCTCCTCATCAATTGTTTATGTCTCTTAGACCAACTCAGATTCGGTTTCTCTATATTTGCAAACATTCTGAAACGGGGTTATCATCCAGATGCCATTACGTTAACTACACTAATGAGAGGTCTCTCTGATAAGGGTGAGATAAATAAAGCCCATATCCTGCATGATAAAGTAGTAGCACTAGGGTTTCTGGTCGACGAAATTAATCACAGGACTCTGATCAATGGATTATGCAGAGAGGGAGGAAACTAAAGCTGCAATCAAATTATTCTCAATGATTAAAGATCGGTCAATAGTAATGTACACTACACTTATTGACTCTTTATTCAAAGATAAACGTTCCAAAAAAGCTTACGATTTGTACACTAAAATGATTTCAGGGGAATTAATCGTAATGTTGTTACCTATACCGTTGTAGTTAATGGTCTTTGTTCGATGAATAGGTCAGAAGAAGCCTTTACTATCAGGAATGAAATGCAATCAAATGGCGTGAGGCCAAACATTCATACATATAATATACTCATTGATGGATTTGGTAAAGAAGGAAAGGTCAGGGACACCAATACTGTATTGGATATGATGATGAGAGCCTACCTGAAACTTGGTTTTTATGTCTTTCATTCTTTAATGCATGTGTATGACTTAGTTAATGAAATGAAAAATGAAAAACAAGTATGGAATGTACCCCGATGGGACTGAGTCCTAATGTTTGGAGCTACAATATCTTGTTAATGTGACTTACACATTAACAAATTGGGCAACTTATTAAAATGATGCATGCTACAAATCAACCTCAACACATAGTAACTTAAAACTGTGTGATAAAAGCTTTATACAAAACCTCTCATCTAGAGAGGGGCATGGAAGTATTCAACATAATGAAGGAGAAAGGAATTCAACTCAACATGTGTTCTTGGACCATTCTTATGGATGTGATGTGCAAAATGGGAAAAGTTGAAAAGGCAATAAAAATCTTTGAATATTTTTCCATTACAGAGTATCCCTTAAATGTAAATAGTTATATCATTATAATAGGTGGTTTGTGTAAGAAGGATTTGTTTGATGAGGCATTGACCTATTGGTCTACGGTCTACAATTGAAGACGTGTTTTTCTTAAAACTAAATTTTAGAATAAAATAATGATACATTTCAATCAACGGTAAGTTTATATAATGACAAGAATTTCGGGAGGAAAACATTATTTTGCCACCGCTTTTGTAAATACACAATTGTCAATACTAATAAAATATTAAATCAATATATAAATTAAATTTCCAAATAAACAAATATTATAAAGAGTTATAAGGAGGTGTTGTCAATCTAAAAGGTTTTTAAAGCAATAATGTCCTCATGTTAAAATATCATGAGTCAAATCTCAATAATACAGTTTTAAAAGTAGAAGAGTGCTCACATCATGACAAAATTAGTTATTGGCGTCTTATGTGGACCGAGAGTGAAAAATAATTATTTAAATTGAGTAAGAGAAATTGAAAAACTTATAGTTAATTTGATTCATATAATAATTGTCAGGGGAATTAATCGTAAGATTGTTACCTATACCGTTGTAATTGATGGTCTTTGTTCAATGAATAGGTTAGAAGAAGCCTTTGCTATAAGGAAGGAAATGCAATCAAATGGCGTGAGGCTAAATGTTCATACATATAGTATACTCATTGATGGATTTGGTAAAGAAGGAAGGCTCAGGGACGCCAATACTGTCTTGAGTACGATGATGAGAGCCTACCTGAAACCTGGTTTTTATGTCTTTCATTCTTTAATGCATGTATATGGCTTAGTTAATGAAATGAAAAATGCAAAACAAGTATGGAATGCAATTACCCCGATGGGACTGAGTCCTAATGAAATGGAATACTTGTTTTGCATTTCCATACTTTGTTTAACTTTTGTTGTCTTAGTTATATTATTATTTTATAAGTTAAATATTTTTATAGTGGTGTACGTAATGGAGGATGATTTTGAAGTTGTTTTCCATAACGTAGGAAAGTTCTTAAATGATGGGAAACTAAAGTATGAGGGAGAAACTTCAACTTTATCTTTTGATCCAGACATGTGGAGCTACTTCGTTGTAATAAGTGTAGTGAAAGGGTTAGGATATGATGTGTTCAAAGAGTTGTGTTCAACGAGATGTGTTCAAACACTTTTTTGGTTTTGTAGAATATTTATTTGAGTGTTTCATCCTACACCTCCAACATCTCATCCTGCACCTCCAAAAATTTCATTTTTAACCTTCTCACATATGCACCTCCAACTTTTCTAAAAATTTTATTTTTTAATAAATATATTTTTATTTTCTTCTCTCTTATTGTTAAAGACATTTTAATAAATACATTTTTATTTTTTTCTCTTTCTTATTAGAGTTCCTCTGCACCATTTTAATAATAATCTAATTTAATTTAAAATTTAAATGTTATTTAATATAATTTTATATTTTAATAATTATTAAAATATGATTTATATCATAATAATAGTTATATTAAAATATAAAAATCAAATAACTAAAATAAAAGTAATAATGATAAAAATAAAAAATAAAATAATAATAACAATAATATAAAATTTGCTTTAATATATTCAAATATATTAAATTATATTAAAATATTATAATAAATTAAACCGTTATTAAATTTTAAATAAAAACAAAATTTTTAAAAACTTATTTATTGGATACCGTAAAATATGTAAATAGTTTTTTTTTTAAATTTAATAAATATTTAATTTAATTAAAAATAATAATATTATTTATTATATTTTTCTAATTTAATAATTATTAAAGTATTATTTATATTTTATAATAATTTTATTGAAAAAATAAAATAAAATAACTAAAATAAAGTTAATAATGATGAAAATAAAAATAATATTGAAAATCATATAAAAGATATTTAAATATATTTTATTATATTAAAATGTTAATTTAATAAAATAATTATTAAAGTTTAAATAAAAAATAAATTTAAAATTTGTTAATCGGATATAGAAATCCGATAACGTATGAATCGGATATGGGTATCCGATTAACAACTTTTCAAAATTTATTTTTTTATTTAATTTTAATAATTATTTAATTTAATTTAATAATTTAATATAATTTAACATATTTAAATATATTAAATATGATTTTAAATATTTTTTTATTATTATTTTTATTTTTATTATTATTATTTTTAGTAATTTTCATAAAACTATTATAAAAATATATATTATATTTTAATAATTATTAAAATATAAAAATATAATAAATATATTATAATTTTTAATTAAATTAAATATTTATTAAATTTTAAATAAAAAACTATTAACATATTTCACGGTATCTAATAAATAAATTTTTAAAAATTTTGTTTTTATTTAAAATTTAATAACTCTTTAATTTATTATATAATTAAATATATTTGAATATATTAAAGCAAATTTTATATTATTGTTATTATTATTTTATTTTTTATTTTTATCATTATTACTTTTATTTTAGTTATTTGATTTTTATATATTTAATATAACTATTATTATGATATAAATCATATTTTAATAATTATTAAAATATAAAATTATATTAAATAATATTTAAATTTTAAATTAAATTAGATTATTATTAATTCTCTTTTTCCTCCCTTCTCCTCCCCCTCATCCTTCTCTCTTTTTCTCCGCCTGTTTTCTCTCCCCTTCCTCCTCCACCTCCTGCACTCCTCCCCTCCCCCTCCCCCCCCCTCTCTTCCTCCTTCCCTCCTTCCCTTGTTCCCTTCTCTTCCTCCTCTTCCCTTCCTTCCCTCCTTCTTCCCCCCCCCTCCCCCCACCACCCCACCCCCCCCCCAACCCCCCCCCCCCCCCAACCCCCCACCCCCCCCCTTCCCCCTACCCCACCCCCCCCCCCAACCCCCCCCCTTCCCCTC